CATGAAGTATGGTCAAAGTGTCCCACAGAATACCATGCGGAACATGAGCACTAAAGACAATCCGGGTACTCTGCCGATAAATCTCTATGCCCTGGCACAGCTAGCTAGCGAGCCTTTGGAATTCTCGAAAATTACAGAAAATGGTACCCAAAGAGACACACGCCATGCCAACACGCACAACATTCTTCATTCCACTGGGGACGTTGTTTTTCTTGCCTCGTACGCCAATTGTGGGCGGATGATGATCTACCATCTACAAGAAAACGTTAGTGTTTCAACAAAGAAAGCTCTTGCCAACATATTTGAAGGTGATCCTTTCAATCCACTTATATTTACAAAAGAAGGAGTTGTCAAGGTCAATACGAAAGAAATACCTGGTTCTCAAGTGGAAACCGTTTGCAGGAAATAGCAACCTTGAACTGACAGAGAATGAGTTTCTAAGATAGCAGTCGAGAATGACTGAATGTGTTGATGCTGTGACGATTGAAGAGGCGAGAGAAATCAGAGAGCGCCAGGATATCGACCGAGAAGGTGCAACAGATACGAAGGCAAGATGTGCAAGAAAGACACCACATAGGCTACTGACGATATTGTATATTATGATTAGTAAAGGTGATACTTTAGTACTTTAATCGTTGGAACAATTGAAGAAACTATAAATGCAATGCTGTTCATTAGATCTATTTTTTGTTATGTAATAGTAATACACTAATACTGTCAATACTTCCACGAAGTCAAATAACTATTAAACATTATAGACTTCTTCAGTATTGTATTTTTCAAATGAGCAAGTCATCTGCAGGCTTGTGATTGTATTTTTCTGTTTAATTTTGTTAAAGTGAACGTATGTATTAATATAATGGATGATAGCGAGGATAAACTGTCAAATTTTCTGAATAACGAAACAAAACTTAATTTATATAGGGGAACAAGGGAGCATGGTTAAATTTTGGAAGGGAACAAGGGAACAAAGCGAAAATTTTGAAGGGAACACGGGAACAAGTACCCCCCCTGGGAGACCCTCAAGTGCGAACTAGGTCAATCCTAGCACACTCTAGGTTCTAATATAGAGTTCATTAGGCGAAGATTGGGATAATTATGGATAGTTTAAAAAATCCCCAGATTCTACGTACCCTATATCCCGTTATATCCATATACACCCTGAGAAATGCGCGCAAAGTACGATGGTATTCAAAACTGTCATGGTGGATTTGTGCCAATTTTGAAAAAAAAACGAAAAGGACTTGCAAAATTTTGTCAAGAATCTCACTTGTTATCATTTACCTGAAAGTTTTTGAAGAAAGGGAAAGTACTAAATCTGTCGAAAATGCCTAAAAATATTCAATACAATGTTGGCGATTTAATTTGGGCGAAAATGAAAGGCTACCCGCATTGGCCTGCTAGAGTAAGCGAATCATTTTTATGTTGACATGGATTTGTAGTATTTATAAATATTGGTTGAAGAATATATTTAAAATGAATTAAGAGTTATCTGGGGAGGAGAATGCTCAATAGTGGTTTAGGATTTTAGGTCATTTAAGCAGTGAAAATTGTATACTAAAATTTTCTACTATCAACAAAAGTTGCTGAATTCCACGTATATTTACAATTTATCGTGCTAGGGGATTTACTATAAAGTATATATACAATAAAACCCCTATCAAATAGCAAATTACACACTATCAAAATCACACTATTCAATACCGGGTTATTCCACAAAACATCTACATTTGCCCAACAGAGGAAATTGCAAGTTTACCCCCCACAGCACCACATGGTGCATTTTGTGTACAAACATTTGAGGGTTACATTACAGTTTACTGTACCTGAGTGATAGAATTATTCAATGACATATATCTGATGACATTACATGTTTTAGTGATTGCTAGGGTATGGTCAACATAAATGGATTGCTGCACAATATTCAGTGTTTTGCACAAACAATATGACCATACGTAACAAAACTGTTTGGTTTTAGATTGATATGGTTGAACCAGGAACAAAGATTCCAAACAATAAATTACCAATATTCTTCTATGGTACACATGAAACGTATGTACAACTCTAATGCAATCTGTAGCTATTTGGATAAGGGCTAGACCATTAGAAAAATTCTGTCCTGGTAATAAATTCACAGGGGAAAAAATTGAATTTGCATTAATGGGTTTTGAATGGTTTTTAAAGATTTCCCATGTATGCTATCAATGTAAAAACTGAATTCTTACTATTATTGGTCATTATAGATTTCCCATATATGGTAAAAAACCATGATGTTTATTATTTAGTACCATAAATGGTATTTTCCTGTCCACAGGAAAAAATAAATTATATACCATCAATGGTAAATATTAAAATATAAAACAATGGTAACTCCAAAAATAAACATATTAAATATTCTAGCTTTCGACTAAGATTCAGTCATCATCGATTCGAGTCTTTTTGACTAAGATTCAGTCAAAGATTCATCAAAAATGAAAAAGAAAAGAAAATGAAAAATTAAATAAAATGAAAACAAAATGAAATGAAATGAAAAAGATTCATCATCATCAGATGATGAATGACTAAGATTCAGTCATCAGATTATGATGTTTCCTGATAATGACTGACTCTTAGTTGAAAGCTAGAATATTAGAATGTTTATTTTCGGAGTTACTGTTGTTTTATATTTTATTAAAAATACTCAGTAATAATTTTTAGTAAATCTTAAACAACATGGTTTTTACTATTTCATCATAATTTTTTTTACCATTTGTGAAATGTGTAATAATTAATAATGGCAAGGCCGGATTTTGGTGGAAATAGTGGGGAAGGTGGAAAAAAATTTAGGGAAGGTGGAAAAAAATTTAGGGAAGGTGGAAAAAAATTTAGGGTAGGTGCAGCGGTCTAGCTCACAACCCCCATGGAAAGTTAGGGCTTAGAACAGGCCAACAGTGATGTATGCATGTAGTGTACATTATATATAATAATGTATCAGTGTATTAATGAACTAAGACTGTACAACTCATCAAATTTTGCCCTACAAAGTTTCTTTCGAAACATTGCATTAATAAAAAGGTTACTTGACACAGAGATGAATGGCTATCACTGTTTCAATTTTACAGAAAAACGTTCTTACGAAGTGTAGATCCTAAGCAACCAAAAAATGTCAAATTTTTTACTTTGATCTATCATCGAAACTGCCCCAAAGGGGAGGTGCATGACTTTTCAGGGGAGGGGCAAAAATTCTCAGGGGAGGTGCAAAACTATCTCAGGGGAGGTGCGCACCTTCCCACACCTCCCCTCAAAATCCGGCTATGAATAATGGTAAGACTTCAAGTTTTTACATTCAAAAACCTATTAATGGAAAGTTCATTCTTTTGTGTGAAAGCCTTTCTCCTTACCTCTTGTGATCCCTTGCTTGCCTGTGTCACTTATTACGAAACACCGCCATTTTGGTAAAAATCCCCAAATTCTTTTGCACCTTCAGTGCGTTCATGCAGGCGAAGGATCTGTGTCCTTACAAAGAAAACAAATCCAAATATTATCTGCCAAAGAAGCTGAGGGGATTTCAGGAAGGATTGGATGAGATTGAAAAGATGCCGTTGATAAAATTTGGAGCAGAAAATAAAGGAAAATCAAACAAAAAAGATGATAGTACACATGATAAAAAGGTAGTCGATCTTGAAGATAATTTGCTTAATTTAATGCTTCCAATATTTGGAAGATATTTCGTAGTAATTTCTTTGAATATTGACCTGTTTAGGAACAGAAAGCAGATGTTAAAAAGGAGATAAAAGAGGTAATTAAGTTATATTCCTTAAAATAAATCAGTAGTGATTATATTAGGGATGAGCCGATCAAAAAATTAAATTTACCAATCCGATAAATTCCAATCAAATTTACCATTCGATCAGCCGATTTATCGGTGTTACCGATACTTGTTCTCAACATTCAAGTGTTGAGAACAAGTATTGGTAACACCGATAAATCGGCCGATCGAATGGTAAATTGGATTGGAATTAATTGCAAAATGCTAGCAAAACATAACAAGAGTTAATTAATGGACCAGTAACATAAATGTCATTACGTTTAGTCATGGATTGATACTCAATTTAGTAATCAATTTATTTCGGAAAATTATTAAATGACTAGCAGTGTAAGTAAATTTGACAGATCCTTTGTGGAAGAGATAACCAATCTGCCTGAAAGTTGTCGATTATCAGGTTCTAGCTAGGCCATGTTGAGGCTCAATGTAACTCTTAAACACTTAAACTGTGCTTCATCTCCCACAGGAAAAGAGTCCAATTAAAAAGGAAAAGCCACGTAAAACACTGGAAGAGAGCAATGATGACACCAAAACAGTAATTCTATTTTATGTTTTTTAAGCATTTTATTCAAAATGTCATTAGACAGTCTGTATTTTTCCAGTAGCAAAATCCTTCGAGCGAAATTGTGAGTATACTGTACATGTACGTTGGTTGAATAACAGATAGTCATGAAAGAAATATATTTTTAGGAAACTCCACCAGCAAAGAAACAAAAGATTTCAAAGAAAGAAGAAGAACCTGTGGAGGTACCTAAAGTACCTATAAAAGAGGTATATTTTAGGCAAAACTTTTTACCCTTTAAACTGGATTTAACCTTCAAATTATGACTGTCTTTTTATCAGGGTTTGAGATAGCCTGCATGGCAGGTGGTTTTTAGGGAGGTGAAGGAATTCCTTTGCCTCCCTAATTTTCACTGCCTGTAGAAATACCGCCTGCCACGCAGGCTAGGTTTGAGATTATACTTTGTTCCTGGAATCCATTTTGGATAACAGCATGTCAGCATTTCTTCAACCTGGTATCCGAACTGAAAATCTTGTGTCCAAATTATCAAAATAAGAAAACATACTTTCAGTCTTTATATGATTTAGTTGCCATGATCTCAAAACTAAATGTAAGAGGTTTTTCCAAATGTTACCTTAGTATTGACAGAGTTTAATGTTAACCCTAATAAATACACCATAACATTAACAACAATGTCAGAACACTTAACAGACTTTTGTGATTGTCTTGATTAAACATGTGAAAATGAAAATGGCTTAGGTATGAAGCTAGGGGGGTCACAAGATATCGGGCAAAAAGCTATCGCCCCCTAAAATTTTGTCGCCTGTATGCCTATGAATGTGATAATATTTGTCTGTGTGTAGTCTCCACGGAAACGAACTCGTGCAAAGCAAAGTGATGATGAGGAAAATGCCGCAAAGAAAGGAGAAAACGAAGCAGAAGATGTGATGACAAAAGAGGAATTTCAACGCAAACGAACAGAAAGGATGGAGAAAAAGAAGTAAGACCATTTCTCACACACTGTTGAGGGACGCTGCACATGCTGATTAATATTAATATGTTTATCTCCTGAAAAATTTCACACCTTTTTCACAGGAGTATTAATATTCATGCTTGGTTGGGTTTAATAGAATATTTTAATACAGGCTATAATTAGCTCACAGTAATGTAATATTTATTTAATCTTTATTTCCCAAACCGGTTTGGCATATTTTTACAAATGGCCAATCACATGCGCGATTCAAATTCTGAACCATGTGACCAGAGGCTCTCCGTTCTCGCCTCTCGTTTCTTACGCCTCGCAAAGAGCCTCTGGAACCAGGGTCCCCTGATTCATGAAATGGATTCTATCATTCTTCTATCATGGATTCTATGATTTTCAGAGAGTTATTGAAGGAAAAGAAAAGACAAGAAAAATTACTGCAAAAGAAGGCTGAAAAACGTGTAAAAGAAGCCGAACGTGAAAAAGAGGCCGAACGGGAAAAAGAAGCCGAACGGGAAAAAGAGGCAGCTGAATTGGAAAGGGAAAAGGAAATGCTAAATAAACGTATTGCACAGCATTTTGTTTTGTGTGTTTTTGCTTACAGGAATCATGTATATAGCCATTTGTTCAGTACAATGAATGTACTTACAGAGCCTGAAATAACAGACATTTTCCTGCCAAATCCAAAACATTTTGTCTGGACAAAAAAAATGTAACCAGTTTTATTGAAAGAATGGTGCATCCAATCACCCCCAAAGAATATGCAATTTTTAAATGTAAAACCATTATACTGTATATCGTTTGGCATAAAGTATTGATGTTTGATGCCCATGACTGGGTGTCAAAATGAAATCGAAAAAATGTCAGACCAAATATGTAACAATTTCTGATCAAATTTAATTGTGGTTCGACATTTTTTCCATACAATTTTTTGAACATTATTTCAGGCTTTGACTTGCAGCTTGTACATGCAAATGAACTATTACTAACTGAACTGCATTTCTTACAGTGCCAACGACAGAGCAAATCCTAGATCGATTTTTATATGATTTGAAGGTCTCACTTAGAGTCGAATCTCCAGTGAGTAGTACAGAAGACATTGGAATATTTTTTAGCCCCTCGCGGACACTTTTGACCTATTACAGTAATTGTGTGTTTTTGTAGGATGTAGCAAGATGTATAAAGATTATAGGACAAATTCAAAATCTTGATCTAACTTCGGAAATGATTAAGAACGCGCCAGATTTAGTATCAACTTTGAAAAGGGTTAGTATTTATATTGTATTGTTGTTTAAAAGTAATGCTATGGTATTGTATGGTTGCGTGTTTAATATGCATGGTGTGGTGTACTCTTTGGAATGAAAGGTATGGTACTGCATGGTACCATGATGTTATGCCGAACCAATTTGTTTCTGCCGACAATAACGGTTTTTAGTGCAAAGTTTCTTCGTCATTCAGTCGTATAGTGTAAACTTTCCGGAAATAGTCACAATGTTTTTAATGTTTTCCGACAACCACATGATATTTTTTGATAGGCCTTACGTTCCTTTTTATAGTATATAATTTGCGGTATGTGTACCCTGGTTCCAGAGGTTTAAAATAAACCTCTGGTTGAAAGCGGCAATTGATTCATCGAGCCGCGCCAATCAGTTTGAATTAGGGTCAGATCCTGACTCTGTCGCCTGATTGGATGTTTGTATTTAAGCTCTCTGATTGGTTATAGATGTTTTATTTGAATCAATCAGAGAGCTTTAATACAATCATCCAATCAGGAGACAGAGTCAGGATCTGACCCTAATTCAAACTGATAGGCGCGGCTTGATGAATCAATTGCCGCTTTCAACCAGAGGTTTATTTTTTCTCTCCCCTTCGCAAAGAAAATAATAAAAATAAACCTCTGGAACCAGGGTACGGTATGTGAAAATAATAATCACATCTATCTCTTCTTAACTTTCAGATCCGTAAGTACACTGGTAGTGAGGAAGTGGTGGAAAGGGCTGGTCAACTTTATCACAAGTTAAAATCCTTCTTCCATGTCTCTTCATCAGGTAGAAATCTAAAAACTCTCAAAACTTTATTCAACCACATGTAGCAAAAACCTGGATATCTTTTTTACCTGATCTAGCTGTTCATTAAGATGCTTTGTTGTGTGAAGCATATGTCTTCAAGACTGATAAGGCATAGGCAATGAATCCTGAAGTAGTCGTATAGTAGTTACAGTCTTATAGGATTAAAAACAAATTACTATACTGCAGGCTATATGAATATTTTTGTTCAGAACTTAGGAATTTAGGTATTGAGTTTGTAGATTAATTAGTGTGTATTTGACCATTTCAATAATCGGGTATTTTGTAATTTTGACATTCAATCAGTGTAATTTCCAGAATTAATTATCATATACATCAAAAATGTAGATTCCCCAAAAAATTTCTGGTTCCGAATTCCGATACTTTTTGCACCTGTGGCTCGGGATCCCCAAAAATTTCTGGTTCCGATACTTTTTGCACACCTGTGGCTCGGACACCATTTTCTAATATTTTTTAAGGTATCATATTCTAAATCATTCTGTTTCATTCTTTCAGTGAACGGCTCATCGCCAGCTTCCGACAGTCCTTTACCAAGCTAAAGCACAAGAAGAAGATTTCTTCATCCGTACTCACTCGCCATATCATTTTCAACGTTTTTAACAATATAAGTTAAGACATTATAGTCAGTTTTATATAGCTCAACTCTTTCAGCAGATCGCTGCATATAGTTCGTGCACCCGTATATAACCTCACGAGCTTGTGCACTTTACCGTGTGTAATATGGCAAAGTAAGGCATGCAAATTGTTTATGTAATAGCACGCAATGGCAATTTCTAGATTGCACAGTCTTCAGTATAGGTTCTCACTTGTTTCCATCTACCAAACTCACGTTACGTCATTTGATGGCAATTTCTAAAGTTGTTTCTTTTTGGATTTTTTTTTATTAATTTGGTTAGAGTTAGGTTTGCGGTTAGGTGTTAGAGTAGGGTTTGACTTAGTTACTTAGCCATTTACAGGTAAACTACGTGAAGCGTTCCTCTTTTGAGTTTCTAAATTGATTGCAATTTTCCTCATTCCTTTTGCAATTTAAAGGAACAGGACTGCATTGCAAATTCCCTTAAGGGATTTGCAAAGAGTTTTTCAAATTTGCAAAGCTAATGAGGAAAATTTCAAATGAGTTACGAAGTCAAAAGAGGAACGCTTCACGTAGTTTACCTGTAACATCTCTTCCGAAAATGACGTCACGTCACTTTGGTGGATGGAAAATAGTGCTGACCTCTTAGTACTGTAATATAGAGGTTCAGATTTGACTTCTGCTACTATTAAGGGACCATCAACCAATCAGATGCGTTTGATATATTCGATTTTTTTATTATTTTTTTTGTCAGTCAAATCTGAACCTTTATATTACATGAATGATCAAAAGCTTTACCGACGAATTGGGAATGAATGTTATATTTTAGGATTACAATATGTAAGCTGATTCATGGATGTAGCACAATGTCAAGTGCCAGATTATTAATACGCGATCTTTAGCAGTAGTTTTTACCAAACATTTACCGAATTAATATATTGTCTCTTGAAGGCTGGCTTCTATTGACATTGTAATATAGTATTATTTATTGTGCATATGGGGCAGGCTTTTGTATCCGCTGGAATTATAAATATATAGTAAAAAATATATTGTGTACAATATGTTGCTATTTTATTGATACTGTATGAATCGCGACTCTTCCGGCACAGTCCCTCAAACATGCTTCGAAAAGGCAGGCGCTTGGTTTGAAGTGGAAAACAGAGAAAGATAAATAAGTGAAGAAGTGATACAGTGGAGGATGAAAGAGAATGAGAGGTTTACACCTCGTATACACACCGACTTTTTTAATAGTTTTTTTTTAAAGTTATAAAGGGGGGGGGGGTGAATAGGGGTATACAAATCCGCCGATCCGCCCAAATTTGAAGCAAAATCCGCGATCCGACAATGGTCTTGTCTAAATTTGAATCCGCTAAAAGCTCAACTATGAAGTCACAATCCAGAATCCGAACTAAATTGCAAGCTAAATCCACAATCCGAGCCAAAATATTAGATAAATCCGCAATCCGCTGTATTAATAAGATCCGCAAATCCGTGTAAAATATTCACCAGATCCGAAATCCGAACAACTTTTTCTGTGCAATCCGACGATCCGAAAACCTAATCACTCCCCCATAAATATTGCACTTCCTTCAATAATAAATTTCAATATCTAATATCCAAGAAAAAAACAACGAATAAGAGTTTGGCGAAAATGAAAGGGATTTCAGAGATCTCTCGAAGTAAAAATAAATATAAATTTCCAAGAAAATCAAAAGAAATTCAGCTTTGCGGATGGAAGTTATTTTTGGGAGTGGCATCTTAAAATCAGGTGATTCAGATTTGCTGAGCCAGTGCTCTCACTTTTAAGGAATTATCCTTAAAAATAGGAATTTTGAAGAGTTTTAAGGATTTTTTTAAGGAATTTAGGTTTTTGAGGATTTTTTTAAGGAATTTCCAAAACATTTTATATTGGACTAAAAACGTTTTGACGGAGAATAACCACGCCACGCAAATGAGATTTAAACTTGAAAGTAGCAACATTATATGCACATAATTACATATATTCGTATGTTCTCTATGTCGTAAATGTACATATGGCTGTCTGTCCATTAAAATTCTCAAAAGTTAAATGTCAGTGTATGCTGTTCTTCTGAAATCTACAGATTTTCTAAGTTCTCAGGGCCCTAGCGACCGGGGGAGGGGGGAGGGAGGGTGCAACACCCCTAATATTGCTCATGAACAATTTCAGGTAGATATCCTGTAGATTTTCAGGTAAATTCAGGTAATTCTCAGGGCATAAAAAAGTGAACTCTCTAATCTGAATTGGAGTTAACAATCAAACAAACTAAAGACGTTGAGATGTGTTGTGGCAGGGAGGCAATTGCGAAATACCCTTTCTGACGATCTGGAGACTCCAAATTTCCAAAATTTTCTCAATTTCCCATTATAAACTGAAAGTATCAATACTTATCTTCATTGTCCTTAGGCAATACTAAAATATTGGGTAGGAAAGACTCTAAAAATGCCATTTCCGACGGTCTAGAAACTTCAAATTTTCAAAAAATGCGGTTTTAAAGAACGTTCAGTTCGAAAAATTCAGGTAAATCAGGTGAAAAAAACACTTTTTGCAACTCTGTGATCAGGCCTTGTAGAAATTTTACCAATTTAAGGAATTTTAAGGAAATCTGAGGAATTTTCGAGCTTTTTCTAAGGAATTCGAAAATTTGATTGTGAGAGCACTGATTTGCTCAGATCATGTCAATGCTCAAATACTTTCCGATATGGGAAGAAGCGAAAATACAATGCTAAATTTTACCCCAGATGATCGACGTTATAAAGGATTATTTAGCTCCGAAAAGATTCGGTGTAGTAGCCTACATATGTCTGATAGTTCATTTCCTATGTGGATTAGTATTTACTGCAGTAACATCGTCATTGAGAGCAGGAGAATTTGGCAAATTTTCTTGTACTGTTGATACAGGAAGTACGATATTATACAAGATTTATGTCGAGAAGACATGTTATTCAAGGTACGAACAAGCTTATAACTCTCCTCTACCTTTGTACGGCTTCGTTTTACTGAGCACTGCCATCGCAGTACTTGTCAGTGTCATTTATTCTCTCGGAGTAAGCAGCCGTGTTGATGAAATCGACAAAAGCCCGAGCGGAAGTGAGGAGCCAGCAGCAACGGATGGCGGAGAAACGAACCATGGATTTCATGTCCTCTATTTCTATTTTCTCCACCTTGTTGTCCGTTCGATATTTGGAGTTCTGTTTAGTGTTCTACAATATACAGTATTCTACCCCAAAGGATTTGATTTCCAATTCAGTTGCACTCTGCCAAATTCAGATGTAACGCAAATTGGGAATAAGACGAGCATGGGTAAGTTCAATTATACTACCACATCGATTGCCTGTGAAAATTCGAGCGCATCAGAGAAATGGTTGTGGAGCATGATTGTCTGTGTTTTGAACACTGCTTTTGCCTTGATAGTACTTTGTGAAGTGATTTATCTATCTCGACGACTTCCAATCCTCGACTGTCGTTCTGTGGTTGGCTGGAGCAGCGATACTCACTTTGTTACTGTATATCTTCTCCGTAAGCGATATATGCGAGTCGAAGTTGCACTGACAAGCATGGATGACAATACTCCGCCAGTTCACAGCACTCCGCCAGTTCACATCACTCTGCCAGTTCACATCACTCTGCCAGTTCACAGCAATCTGCCAGTTCATAACACTCCGCCAATTCACAGCACTCTGCCAGTTCACATCACTCCGCCAGTTCACAGCACTCCACCAATTCAAAGCACTCCAGATACTAGCATTGCAGACAGCAGCATTCAGGACTCAATAGACTTTTATAAACACAAGGTTTTGGATGCTTCCCTTACATCTGACATATGTTATGCACCGAAAGTTGATTTAGATCATTTGTACATTGATGTTGTTATTCACACTGAACGAGCTCGACACAAATTTTCGAAGGAAATGGCCAGACACGAAATATTTGATGTTTATATGTTGGTTCCTGAGTCCTCCATACGCTTGGAAGAAATCAAAGACTTATTTTATCCAAATGAAGATACTTCCGGCAAGACTCCTCACATTATTCTGGCAGTTGGACGCCCTGGAATAGGCAAGACTGTTTTGACACAAAAAATTCATCGTGATTGGGCAAATGGAGATGATGAATTTTACAGAGGGAAGATTGCCTTCTTTTTTAAATTTAGATGGTTCAATTTTGAAGAGTTAAATAACTTATTGCTCAAAACATTTCTACGCTATGGTACTGGGCTTAGCGAAGAAAAATTTGAAAGTATTTTTGAAGAGATTCTAAAGGAACCACAGAAAGCACTTTTTATTTTTGATGGCTTCGACGAATTCAGTGGTGACCTGAGCAACTGCTTCGAACAGTCACAAATACTTCCAAACGATCCCACAACCTGCACATCCGCAATTAATTTATTTCTGAAACTTACTAATGGTAATCTTTTGAAAGGAGCAACGGTTGTCGTAACAAGCAGACCGACTACAGAACGTTTTTATTCAAGGATCTATTTTGAGCGAAGTGTTGAAATCATTGGTTTCACTTTAGATAAAATTGAAGAGTATGTTAGCAGATTTTGTGAGAATAATGGTAGAAGTGATTTGAAACCAAAGATATGGGACCATATTAGAGCCTCGTCAGACTTGCTGAATTTATGTTACATTCCAGTAAATTCTTTTATTGTTTGTGTTACCATGACCCATTATCTCAGTGATCCTAGAAATGACACCGGTGCTCTTCCAACAACACTGACTGAACTTTACAGTACGGCCATAGATCATTTTGCGATGCATCACAACAGAAATTTAGACGAAACATCCTCGGAGCAAATACACAAGGACCTTCAAAACTTGGCATTCCGTGGTATGGAAAACGGACAATTGGTTTTCAATAAACAACTATTTGATGCACAAATGAAACGTTCTGGTTTGGTAAACAGTTTGTCTAATCCAATCTTTCCACTTCAAATGCAATTTTGTTTTATACATTTAACCATACAAGAATTTCTTGCTGCAAGACACGTGACTGAAACACTAGCACCGAACGAGATAGAGAAATTCATTTCCACTCATATTGAAAGTGCTAAGTGGTATTTAGTACTACAGTTCATTGCTGGACTTTTAGGAGAGAAAACTAAGATATCTGGCAGTGATTACCATGATTGCATTATGACCTTCACAAAGAGCTTCTCTTTACAGACTGATAAAACTATCGATCTTAACAATGTTGGTCATGTGCTGGTAATGAAATGTTTAAGAGAAGTAGATGATGAGGACATTGCTAAACAAGTTTGCGAAAAAACTGACTTAAATCTTGTTACGAGAATTTCTGGTTGTAGCTGTGATTGTGACTGGGCTGCAATTACTTTTGTTTCGAAACATTTGAAGAATTTAAAAGATTTATTTTTGCAGAATGTAATTAAGCAAGACAATCATTTTCTGGACCTTGGAAAATTTGTAAAACAAAGATGTCTAGAAAGTCTGACCTTGGATAACGGTGGAAATCCATGTAGCGACTACGCAAAAAAACATCTATTCGACAATTTTAGGAATTCAAAATGTACACTGAGCCATGAACATGCTAAACTCAGCACACTCCATATATCTATTCAAATGAAAGATGAATATATGTCAAACTTATGTGTATTTATTAAAAACGGAAAAGCGATTTATCTTCAACGACTAAATCTGAGTGGCAATTATTTTACTTCTTGTGGAATATCCCAACTCTGTGATGTTCTTAACGATGACCATTGCAAAGAACTAAGATATCTGAATTTTAGCACTAATTACGAGTTGGATAGCGAAGGTCTGGGTATGTTGTGCAATACAATACAAGGACATTGTACACTCCTAAATACATTGATTTTTGACCACTGTACATTAGGTGCAGCAGGCGTGAGTTCGTTATGCCAACTTCTCTGTGATGAACGTTGTAAATTGAATGTTTTGTCATTGGAAGGACATTACATAGGCGATAAAGGTGTACGCATGCTGTGTACCGATGCTTTGAGAAGAGAAGAATGCCAGCTTACTGATTTAGGACTTAGTCAGTCTAACTTAACAGATGAGTGTATACCACTTTTATGTGAGACTTTGCAAGACAGAAACTGTAAGCTGAAAAAACTGTCACTATATTGCAACAAATTCACTGAAGAAGGCAAGACCTTGCTTCGTGATGTTGAGAAAACTGAAATATGTAAAGCTAGAGGTTGCACATTATACATGGAGAACCTTCTACTGTAAATGCGTCGAAGATGTAAGGGTTAGAGAATTGTCACATGTGCTCAATGGGATTTAAATTCCCGTACCATTGAGCACAAGGGACCATTCTCTAACCGTTTTAGAGAATGGTTGTAATTATAAACATATATGCACATTTTTTTTGTCCAGGAATTCGGCATTTTGTTAAGCTTTTGTTAAGGAACTGTGGTGTGGAAAACATGTATTTCCGGCACAATATTGGATGTAGTATATATATAAGCTGCATGTATAACGTGCATACTATCATGATTTTTAACAGTCCTTGAAACTCGGCAATGCCGACCTAAATGCCGACCTGCAAAGCGATATGTGTAGATTTAGGTCGGCAAAATTTTGCCGACCTACTTTCAAATACGTCTCGGCATTTTTTTCCGCGAACGTATCTTTCAAATACGCATTTTCAACGATGATGTTTTAATTAATATCAGGTTTTGATCATTATAGCTTGCGTAGTCACATTGCAGTTTCATTGTTGAAAACTTTGAAAAGTAAACATACGTGTTAAAATCGTCCAGCTTCAACTATTTAAGCGAAAGTATATGGTAATAAAGTAGTGTACGATCTGTCACAACATTTGGTCACAACATGCACTGTTCGATTGGAGTTCGTATATTTTGTTAGTTGTTTTGTTTGCTATTGACTGCAATTAATTGCTGTTTCTAAATACACGTATTTGCAGCAAGCAAATTAAATTTTCATTTGGATATTTTCTATTTGTTTTGAAAATATTTGCCGACCTAGATTGAGAATTTTGGCAATTTCTTGCCGACCTGAAATTTCGGGAGTTTCAAGGACTGATTTTACATGCAACGCTCTACTTCGTTTAGCTATATATTGTCAATAACCTTATATTTCCCTCAAATTAATCAGCCCCAAATCTTCACTGGCATTGAGACCATTACTTCACACCCTTTCACGTATCGTTTTTTATTGTTTCTGTCCTCATTCTTACTTTCATTCTCAGTAGCGCCGTGGCCGGGGGGGCCATGCCCCCCCTATTGTCGAGACCTGTCGGAAAATTGTCAATGTTGTCGGAAATGTTCGGAAAATTGAATGTTGTCGTCCGGAACAGGGGCGTAGGAACCGAAAAATTTTGGTATATTCGGAAATTTTTTTTCATATTTAGGAAGAAATGTGATAATATCCGGAAAAATTTTTTTTATGTCCTGATAAAATTTTTTGAGACCTCCCCCCCGTCGCCAACTTTTTCCGGGAAAAATTTTTTTTCTAAAAATTTAGGTTCCTTGTCGGAAACTATTTTTCGGTTTCTCGGAAAAGTACTGCCCTTGGCCCCCCAAAAAACATGGGTCCCACGGCGCCACTGTTCATTCTTTCTCCAAATTTACTGCGCCCAAAGCGCTATGATTGGATATTTCCCAAAAATAGATCGCTGCTAAGTATCAGCCCGACAATTTGGTCATGCTATGCAAATATTTCCGTGTTCATAGACCGTGAAAACAATCATGGATGTGAAGGAGTGGATGAGTTATAAATGTTCCAGGTTATGAAATTTCATAACAACGTCATTAAGTAATCTACTCCTTCACATCCTCCAAAAGGAGAAAATCGCAACAAAAATCGCCCGTGTGAACCGGTCTGAAGATGACCAACGAAATGCCAGATGACAGTTTTTGAATTTGGGGCGAAACTTAGGCCCCCTTTACACGAGCCCGGGTTGACTATCAACCCGGGTTGGCTTGCCAGCCCGGGTCAACCAGTCTACGAATAAATCTCTATTAGCGTTTACACGATAGCCGGGTCAACCTTTCACACCTCGCCAACCCGGGGCACCCTTCTCGAGACCCGGGTCGACCCGGGTTGGCGAGGTGTGAACGCGTGAAAAGTTTATTTATTCATTTCTTCATGTAAAGCCGGGCTTGACCCGGGATCATGTAAAGTGTGGTAAATTCATGATTGTGAACTTTGCACCTAGCGTCATATCGCATTTCAACATTTTGCGTGCGTATTTTCTCCGTCTCTGTTTAGCTGCCTCCTCCACAGGCTCCTCTATGTAGATCAAATTTAACTGAGATCAACGTATTTAAATATCAGTAATATATAGTTCAGCGCGTGCACTGCAAGCCCGATAAAGGCGCACGCCCGCAACTAAGATTAATTATTCTAATTATTCGTTTTCCTCTTAATTATTCGTTTTTTTCATTTCTCCTGATTAATAAGCGACTGGGGACGAGGCAGTCTGTTTAGTACAGACATCTCTGAAGGATTAATATAAGACAGAGCTGAGATGGATTATAAAAATATAGAATTCAACTCCGATGTTGTTGCAATGTATTCAAAGTTGCGCGAAGGTATGGCGTTGGCGTTCGATGCCGAATATTTGAGGAGCTATCAAAAAAGAAAGAAAACGTCTTTAAGGCAGAATTAAGTTGCTATACGGTTAAATCCCTGATAAAAAGGGATATAATCGTATACTGAAATATATAAGAGCCAAATTTTGAAAACTAAAAGGAATATGATCGTATGAGCTCTATAAGGGATACAAAATACACTCTGCTCCAGTCTGTTGCTCAAAATATTACTCGAGTCAGCCCGGGTTGAGAATTGCTGACCCGGGTTGACAAAAATTGTCGTCAACCCGGGTTCATCCCGGGACCAATCCGTTTTCGTATTGTTTCTGGTAAGCAGACATTCAATGTTCTCTATTCCCTTGTGAACGGAGAAGAATACGAAAACAGATTAGTGTGGACTTTGGCTTACACTATCAACGTTTCTGTGATCACAGTAGGAATTTTGCACAGGTAAATTCTAAGTATTGAAGGATTTGTAAGAAATGTTTGAGGGAACTTACTTAGTGATAAACACCAAGATGTCTTTGCATTTCCAAAATATCTTTTGTTTCTATATGTTTGAATGCATTAAATGAAATTAAATCAAAAGTCCAGATGAAAACAATACTTGGGCGGTCGTTGTTCTTGAAATCCTATCTTTGGAAAATGCAGGGACAGCTTGGAACACATGCATGTTTAGGATGTTTACTGTATTCTGTGTCTGTGCTATACAATGTTGATACATTTATATGTATAAAAACGTTTTTGTAACTTGGTCCTTTCCCAAACCTTTCCTTTGCAATTTTCAAGTCTCTTCATTTTAAGGTATAGTTGACTTAGAAAGGATTGCAATGTATAAGCGGGTCCATGTCTAGTTTATATTAAGGATGGTTTGAAACGCATTGATCGTGTGTTGTAATTTTGTGCTTTGTTAAAGTTTGTAACCCTGCCTCTTGTTTCACAATGTCAATTTAGCCGTTTTCATATTAAAAGACGGACAAGTCGTCCAGACGAACAAATCGTCTTTTAAGCCTGCCGCACACGAGAGAAACTTGCTGAGCTAACGCCTCGCGTGGTGGCCAGCTCAGCTGTGTATTTTCACCGCGCACGTTGGGAAAACTACTCAACAACATAATTGACAAAATCGTTTACATTTCCCTTCATTTTATTCATAGTCACATGAAGAAACTATAGTTTCTCATTGGTTAATTGATTCGAGCAGCTCAGCACTAAGCTCACAACATCCACAGACGTTGAGATTTTTTCCTCGCGAGGTGAAAAATATCAAACATGATAGATATTTTCCTCGAGAGGTCAAATCCTCACGAAAACTATCCGCACGCGATAGAAACTTGCTGAGCTAGCTGCCACGCGAGGCGGTTAGCTCAGCAAGTTGCTCTCGTGTGCGGCAGGCTTAAGTCGGACAAATCGTCAGATGTGAAAACGTGTCGGACAAAATTTTAGACGAACAAGTCGTCTGAATTTGTTCAACTGCTTGTCCGTCTGTGAAAACGATTTTTGATCACGAGGGACGATTTGTTTATCTAGACGACTTGTCCGTCTCTAATGTGAGTAGGGCTATATATATTATGTAATGTGTAGGTATAGGACTTACGCCCGTATTCTAAAAGCTCACTCACCCTCAATGAGTGGAGGTTCAGTTCTGAGCTTTTCTTGAGTGTCATAGCTGTTTTTGAATAACTGTAGTAATAGTGAGTAGTCACATAGTAAGGTATGACACGGCATGTAGTAAAACATGGACTGGACTCATTAGTAAAACATGGACTGGACCCGATTAGTAAAACATGGACTCTATTAGTAAAACATGGACTCTATTAGTAAAACATGGACTCGATTAGTAAAACATGGACTCTATTAGTAAAACATGGACTCTATTAGTAAAACATGGACTCGATTAGTAAAACATGCACTCGATTAGTAAAACATGGACTCGATTAGCAAAACATGGACTCGATTAGCAAAACATGGACTCGATTAGTAAAACATGGACTCGATTAGTAAAACATGGACTCGATTAGTAAAACATGGACTCGATTAGTAAAACATGGACTCGATTAGTGAAACATGGACTCGATTAGTAAAACATGGACTCGATTAGTAAAACATGGACTCGATTAGTAAAACATGGACTCGATTAGTAAAACATGGACTCGATTAGTAAAACATGGACTCGATTAGTAAAACATGGACCCGATTAGTAAAACATGGACTCGATTAGTAAAACATGGACTAGTCTATTAGTAAAACATGGACTCGATTAGTAAAACATGGACTCGATTAGTAAAACATGGACTCGATTAGTAAAACATGGACTCGATTAGTAAAACATTCCTAAATGTAGTTCCTTGTCTGTTTTTTTGTAAATTGTAATTTTAATAACATGAACTTTAGTGTACAAGAGGGCATGCAGTAAAACATGGACTGGACCAATTAGTAAAACATGGACTGGACCCGATTATGGGCCGACCATTTAACTTTTGAGGAGGGGGGGGGGGTGATTTACTGCTGGCAGGGAATTATTTTCTGGGATCGTTATGTGCAAGATTTTTTTTTTATCCCATGTACGATTTTTTTTGCCACACTTTCTTTCGCAGCATTTTTTTTTCAATAGCTTATACTATTTAGATTCTTTAATTATAGTTAACGTTGAGTTTTCCGCTTCATGCATTGCTCTTAATAATACATATTGCTATGAGGTATAACATTTGGTTCAGGGCCTTTTTTAAGGATGTGTAACTGGAAAGGACATAATTAGCGAGGGACCTGGAGAAGTTCCAGTCGGCAATTCTGTATCCAGGGCCGTAGCTAGCATGTATAGAGAGGGGGGGGTGTAGGCCAAAAATTTCCAAATGACGAAAATAATTTCCGAATATATCATGGCATACTAAGCCACGAAGATGTTTGCTATTCGGAAAATGAAGACGCAATTTGCAAACAAAAATACGCATATTTTACGCACAGACATATACAGACGCAATGCGGTAGGGAGCTTTTGTTTATTGGGGGCAGAAAGCGAGGGCCGAGGAAATTTTTAAATTTCGAAATGCCATTTTATAGAAATGTCTTTGAAATGCCATTTGCTGGACTTTGGGGAAGTTTTGACAGAATGCTGATGGTCAGAAAAAAGCGTTTATAGTGACAATACAATTTTATAATATTTTCGCTGTTTAACAACTAAAATTTTGTTCTACTATTACTGCCAGAATTTTCCGAATGGCCAACCCGATTTTCTGAAGATGTTGATTCTAAAAAGGTTGGGGGTTAACCACCCCCCAATACCCCCACCTCGCTACAACCCTGTCTGTATCACTGCAGCTACCTACAGCATATATATGCATGGTTCAAGTTAACTAATAAGTATACGTCATAGGGCAGCAGCTCAGGCCATGCTTAACTAGGACTCTGAGACAACTGAGTCGACCACCGAAGGCGCGAGCCTTTAGAGGGGTCTGGTGGCATGCCCCTCCAGAACATTTTGGATTTTTTGAAGCTCAGATAAGCTATTTCCAGCATTTTGAGGAGTTTTCCAACAAGAAATTAACCTTACACTAGTCCCTGAAAATCAAACCAGCTGATCTTCTCGGACTGGTCAAATCAATCCCTGCACCAAAAATACTGGGGCAGGATATTGGACTCTTGGTAGGAATGATGTGCTATTCCACTGAATGATTCAGACCAACTTTTTCCTGAAACATTTAAACATTTTTTCATTGTGTTATATTTTAAGCTGTCGTATTTCTTGAGTCTGTTAGGGGCATGATATTTTTGAAAGTGTCGCGTATCGATTTATTCCACGAGGAACTTCTTAATTATGTACGTTTCCCTGATGACCCCATCTCC